TTTTTAATTATTAAAGTATTATAAATTATGATGTAATTAAATTATATGAAATTAAGTTTTAATGGGTAATTTTGTAATTATATTAAATAGTAAGTGTTCTCCGTAAAAGTCACAGCCAAAAAGCTCTAAAATAAGGTTTTTGGGTTTATATATAAAATTATTGTAAATCTGCTATGACTTTTTGCAACTTTTAAAAAGAGCAATTTGAAAAAAATTACTAAACACATATATATCTAAAAGTACTGTGTGGCTATCTGAAAAAGCTCCTAACCGCAACCCCAAACACATCCCTAGTGAAATTGCCAGCTTTTAGGGACAGTAGATAACTCAACAGGTGACATTTTCCACCACCAACGATTGGTCCTTCCTTAAGCCAAACAAACTTTAATCTCCCATCCACTTGCAGCTTATGATACCACAAACAATCTCTACCTTTGATCCACTAGTTGGCTATCAAATCTAATCTTTTTTCCCACCATTGACTACCGTCCCTCAGCTGTCCCATAAAAGTTTGATGAGGAAGGACTCCGCATACTCAAGAGAAAATAGCCTTGTACGATAGTAGGTTTGCCTTAAGTGAAAAAGTGGAAAGGGAATAAAGGGCGAAGGAGAAAATATGTAGAGAAATATGATCAAGGGATACAACAAAAGAGGAGAAGGATAGGCACAAAAAAATTTGTTGAAGGGGAAAAGAGGTAGAGAGGAGGGATTGACTCAAGGTAGGTAAAAAGAAGGATGGAGGAAGCAAGAAAGGGGGCATCGATGGCTTCTAACTTTTGCTACCGTTTCAACCTTATATAATTACTAGGATAATTTCTATTGCTTAGTTTTGATGAGTACTCCTTATAATTTATTAAATACAGAAATTGTGAAAATTAACGTGAATTTTAATACAAGATTTGTATCTAAATTAAAATCAATTTGTGATAGGTGAAGTAACTTTTCTTATATTTAACTCACAGGTCTTTTTATTATATTTTTGATGTGAAATGTTTTGACTCAACATAAAATTTTTGTTGTTCAAAAAAAAGAAAAAGAAAAAAGAAAAAAGAAAAGACATTTGTCTAGTCTATGGCACAAGTTAAATGAGAAAACAAAAAAGTTAAAATTAATTTTAGTACCCATACCATGTAGATTTATTTAATTAGACAATTAATAAAATTAATATTAATTTTTTATATAAATTAATATCTAAAAAGTATAATAAATACACTTTAAACTTCGCCTTTAGAAAAAAAAAAATCTATTACTTAGTTTTACAATCTGAGTTTTACATAAACAAGAAGAATCAATAATCATTTGTTAAAGCACCAATTTGCAAAAAAAAAAAAAAAATGGTTAGAGTATTCTCTTTATTTTTATTTTTATTTT